GACGAATCCCATCGTGCGACCAGTGTGTCAGAGTAGTATGCCTTTGTGAGGCCGACATGAAGATCACGCAAAACAGCGTCAGTAATGGGACCCACATTGGAAATGAGAGTGCGATGACCAGCATAGCTGAGCAGGGCAGCAAAGCGAGCATACACGTTGTGCTGCTGTCTGTACAGATATGTATGATCCGTCTGCATGTTGCTGAACTGACGGGTGGATGTGTACGCTGCCTGAGCCTCCAGAAGGGCCTTTTGTGCCAAAGGCCCGCAGCGGCCATTCCATACACGACACAAAAACCCTAGCTGTCTGCGACGCGCTTCATACGTGACAGAGAAGCGACCGGTCTCACTCAACAGAGCATCATTGCTGACACGAGACGACGCGTGTGCAAGGGGGTGGAGAAGAGGCAGTCCAGCTCTGCGCGGGACAGCCGCACGTGACAAGCAGAGTAAGAATCATCGGGAAAACACAAAGATCGCCGTCCATGTCCAGTTTGTTTTTCCCCCGTGGCGTGTTGCTTGTCCACAGGCCTGTGATTCATTCATTCATCTGTGCGGTGGTGAATGCGCGATGAAGGTGGTCGGTCTGATATCTGGAGGCAAGGACAGCATCTTCAATCTGCACTGCTGCGTCGCCATGGGCCACGACCTCGTCGCACTGGCACACCTGAAACCGCCACATCACACACGTACGGAATGAATGGCCCGATGGATGGACGGATGGACGAGTGCCCAGCACGCAGCTATCTCATTTCACCGACACGCTCACATTGACACATGCGCTGTGCTTCTGTCTGTGGCTGTGTGTGTGTGTGATTCAGTTGAGAGCGACAGCTGGATGTACCAGAGTGTGGGTGCCGAGGTGGTGGAGGCGATAGCCACCTGCATCGACAGACCACTCATACAACGAACTATCACCGGTACGCACCGTTGAGGCAGGCAGCACACACACGAACACACAAGTCCCTTCATCACCTCACCCTGCCTGCAGGTGTCCCGCGTGCCACCGGCACCCTAGGGTACGACGTGACGGCTGGCGACGAGGTGGAGGACCTCAGATTGCTCCTGCAGAGCGTCAAGGTGACTGACTGACTCATGTGGATGGCATCCCACCCGCTCCACTCCACTCACAGCCAGCAACGTGTGTGTGTGTCAATGTCAGGATGCCTACCCGGATGTGTGTGGTGTGGCGTGCGGTGCCATTCTGTCCGACTACCAGCGACTGAGGGTGGAGCACGTCTGCGGCCGGCTGGGCCTCTGCGTACTCGCCCTTCTGTGGAAACAGCCGCAGGTACGACTGGAGGGGCAGCGACCGACCGAGCAGTCAGTACGGACACGCGGATCTGCTCGCGTCTGTGACATTCATTCAGGTGGCTCTGCTGGACCAGATGATTGCTTGTGGCATGGAGGCGGTGCTCGTCAAGACAGCCAGCATGGGTGGGTAAGGCAGTGAGTCGGCAAGGACACGGGCAAGACGTGCACAGGGGTGCTCCGTCCTTCAGGTCTGAAGCGTGCCCATCTCGGCAGGACCATCGCCGACCTCAGACCACACTTCCACCAACTGGTAAGCAATCTACCGCCAGTTCTGGGGGGCCAAGTAGCTGGTTTCAGAATTTGTGTGTTTCTCATCTTTGGTCAGCACGGCGCTTTCGGCTTCCACGTGTGTGGTGAGGGCGGCGAGTACGAGACCATCACAACAGACTGCCCTCTCTACAAGAAGCGACTCGTCATGTAACCGCCCATTCTCGCCCACCTCATGCTCGTGCTCATGTCTGTCTGTCTGTCAGCGACGCAAGCGAGACGGTGACCCACACGGATGACGGCATCGCGCCAGTGCTTCTGCTTCACGTCACCAAATGGCACCTGGAGGACAAAACGCCCTCGCCATCGCCCCTCGCTGCCCCCATGCAGCCCTTCATCTCCCTCGAGCGGTATCTCACTGACGCATCCTTCCAGCGGGCGGCCATACGCCGGGCGGATGTCGCCGATAATGGGGATGCCTTGACGCGCACACAGTCGATGGCGGCAAGAGAGGCGACGTGGAGAGAGCATCAGGTGCAACGGGCGGGAGGGAGTGGGCAAGGGATGGGCGGGGTCGGTGTGTGTGTGTGATGGATGTCGGTCGTGTGTGCAGGGGTTGGTCTGGACGTCAGAGCTGGATGTGTCGAGTCTGCCTTCGATGGACGGGGAGGACGGCTTGTCCCCGGTAGCTGACGAGGAGGAAGCGGTCACTCAGAGCAGGCGCCTCTTCACCCGGTTGAAAGGTGGGTAGCAGACAGACAGAAGGAAACCATACACACATACACACGTGCCTTTCATCCGTCCACTTCAGCGTGGCTGTCCCGTGAAGGTCTCTCCCTCCAGGACGCCGTGCACGTGGCCCTCCAAGTGTCCGAACTCTCCCTCTTCACACGCATCAACGCCATCTACGCGGGCCTCTTCCCATCCTCCCCGCCGGCACGCTACTGCATCCAGACACACCTGCCAGCCGGCACTCATATCAGGGCAAGGCTGCTGATGCATCGCGGAGGTGGTGGGCACATGCGGCGGCGGCATCTGCACGTGCAGTCGATATCCACATGGGCGGCGGCGTGCATCGGGCCCTACAGCCAGGGAGTGGCAGTGGGCCGGGGGAGGGGTGCTGAAGGCGAGGGACAGTGTGGGGGTGGGGTGGCGTGGCTGTCGGGAGTGATCGGGCTGATCCCACATGCGATGAAGAGGCCCGAGGAGGCTGATGTACAATCATGGTGAGTGAGCAAGGACACACCACACCGACACAGGCGCCTTCATTCCTCACTCTGAGTGTCTGCCTCCTGTCAGTTCTTCACTACTTTATCCGGCACCCACCCAGCAGCCCCTCTCGTATTTCCTGCCTGCAGAAGTGGAGGTGGCTTTGGCCCTCAGGTCTGTGCGCAACGTGCTGACGGAGATGCGCACATCCCTACTTCACCTCGTCAGCCTCCTGGTCTTCACCAGCGACCCAGCCATCGACTTCGACGCACTGGAGGCCATGCTCAGGCGTCTCATGGCTGCCAACAGGATGCCTGCATCTTCGGAAGGCGACAAGCGGCCTTCGCGGCCTTATGTGGGGGGCAGCCGCATTCTTGGGAAGGATGAAAGCGACTACATAGAAGAAGAGAAGGGCCGTGACCGTTATGGCGATGTTGTAGAGCGGCCTTCGTCGCCTCCCGTGGCTGTGACGCTTGTGTTTGCTCGAGTGCCGGCTCTCCCGCGTGGCTGCAGCGTTGAGCTGGCCCCTGTGGCTGCGGTACCCCTGGCTGCAATGGCATTGCAGCACAGGACGGGCCGCATCGAGTGGGAAGGCTGGGAGATGGGCGTCACGGCCACATGGGACTATGGCAGGCTGATGGCCATCGCCATCTCGTTGGGTGTCTCTCGTGCAAGGCCAAGGCCAGACGCTGAAGGTGACGACTTGCCCCTCGCCGTGCGTGCGAGTATGTGGGTGCTGCGGCAGCTTGTGGTGGGCGTGGGGGGGGTGTCGGTGGACTCGCTGACGGCAGTGGATGTGCTGTGTGCCCCATGCTGTGAGCTGGACCGTGATGGCGTGTGTGCGTGTTGGGAGGGGGAGGGCGGGTTGTCTGCCATTGATTCGCTGGAAGCGAGCTATAAGGTGTGCATGGGGGTGAAGGTGGTTGATGAGGCAGGGACGATTGGGTCGTGCCCCGCTATTTTGGTGGTGCCCGTGTGTCGACTGGACGGGGGTGCTGACATGGTCATCATGTGTCACGCTGTGCATGGCATGGAAGGAAGATTGAATGAGTGACGGACGCTTGGAATATATATGTGTTGTCCCATCGATCGTCCGTCCATCCATCGCCTGTCCACCTGTACACACACTGACAGACACATATTAAGCGACTGACTCAAAGATGCAGACAGACAGACTGGCTGAGAGTTCAGCGGAAGGCAGGCAGGCAGACAGGCAGGCAGCCACAGCAAGCAGAGGAAGGACACAGTAGATAGAGGAGACACAGGGAGGCAGGCAGCCAGCCAGACGTTCCTCTTCGATCCCGGCCTGCAGGGCCTTGTAGGCTGATTGATGAGCGGAACAAGCAACGAAAACAAGACAGACAGACGGGCAGCAGTCCAGGAAGGGGTAGGTACCACACGCACTCACTCTAAGACAACCAACGCCCCTATCGAGCGCTCATACACTTCTTGGATAAACGAACGAAAGCCACACAGACCATTTCGCATCGCCCTAGAGGTCATGTCATGAGAAGAAAAAAACATCAGACACGACAACGACCCAGCGCACGACTGGCCGACCGACACTCCTGCCCCCTCGCCCCTCCCTGCCTCTCCCCATCCATCCCACCCCCCGCCACACAAACACACATAAATGATGCACGCAAGCAGTGTGGCTCTTCCCTCTCCGACCAGCCTTCTCCCCACCCCCTTGGGTCAAAGTCCCGCAGCCACCTCAGTACGTCCCCACACACCTGCCTGCCCAGTTGACAAACGAGACACGCGCACACGCGACGGACGGCCCTCCGAAGCACAAGTAGTGCTTGATCAAACTCGGGCCGCATTCCCCACGACCGTTTCCCCGCCCCACACGTCCACGCGCCTCACACAATTACAACCACACATTAACACATTAACACACAACCACGCCAAGAAAGCCACCGAGGACATGATCGAGCGGGCGAACATGACGAGCGGGCTAAAATGGAGGCACTGGTCATCTTAGCCCGCTCGATCATTTGCTCAGTGGCTTTCTTGATCTTTCGTTGTCAGTCAGTCAGTCAACACGAGCCAGGATTGATAAAAGGATACATACAGCACAAACAAACGAATCAATCAGTCAGTCACCGGCGCGCATCGAGAACAAGGCGCCACCACGAACTCCCACCAGAGCTCTATCTATCTAGTTGACCCATTCTTGTCGCTGCCAGAACTTATCAGCGTCGGCTATGAAGTCCTGCTGGTTGGCACGCCACTTATCCTGAACACATGAATGAATGAATCACACAGAAGCCCCCAGCGGTGGAGGCGACATCCACACACACATGAGGGTGCCTGTGTATGTGTGTTGGCACAACCAAGGACCGACCTGTGTTGGTTTGTCGAAGTTGGTGTAGAGTGTGCCGTTGACAATGTCCCACGCGTCAGGGTCCGTCGACACGTACGCGCCGAAGGTCATGGCGTACGCACACCACCCGCCGTATCTCGGGAGGTACTTGGCGGGGTCGGCGAGGAATGTGGCCTTGTTCTCCTCTGTTGAAAAGGCGAACTTGGCACCGTGGTGCTCGGCTTCGATCTCGCCAATCTTGCCCGCCACATGCTGCACACAACACACCCCGCCCATCACATCACACACCGATGGGTGGATGGATGGATGGATGGATGACACACCGGTTCTCTCGCTGGCTCACATTCATCCTGTTGTGTAGGTGTGCTTACCGGCGCGTTTTTGTCGTCGAGCGAGAAGTAGGCCACAGGGTCGGCGCCGCTGATGACATAGCCGTTGTCGGCGACATAGTAAGAGGCCTTGCCGCCGCCGCCCTCGACCACAAACTCCTGGGGCGGCACGGCATCACCCCCACCCAGATGCATCGGCAGCACCACCGCCAAAACTACAGCTGTGTCACACACACGCAGCAGACACGCAGCGCAATAAACTGAAGTGTCTGTCAGGGCTCCTCTCTCTTGGCCGTGACTCATACCTGCAGCCACAAGAACTGTGAGGGTGACGAACAGGATGATCTTTGTTCTCCGAGAGAACTTTTGCTTGAAGGGCGTGGTAGAAGTCTCATCGCTCGTGCCTTTCTCGATGTCCTCGTGACCAACAGTAGTGCCAGGCGATGACATGATGAATGCGACAGATCTGAATAGAATCTGGGCGAAAGGCGGCTCGGAAGAAGGATATGGCACGAAGGACGGATGCACGCTCAGCTGCTCTCCCTAAACCTGCGCTCCTCGCCAAAAGGGGGAGAAAGAGAGAGCCTCAGAGGAGCTACTTTTGCGGGATTTAGGGCGGGCGTCAAACGCATCAGCTGAGGGACCTCTGTGTGAGAGCCTCGTCCATCCATTTCTGGCAACCATGTAAGAAGAGCATCTCCCGCAACAGCCGCCGGATGGAGGTGAGGCCAGACCTGCCGCCGCTGCCCGCGCGGGGATGGCAGCGCACATTGAGCAGCGGCATCGCCGACCACAATGGATCAGCAGGGGCCGCTCTGAAAGACGCCAACATCGTCGTTCCAACGGGGCCTTCAGTGACGCGCAAAGTGGTGGTGCGACGGCCTGCGTATCGCTCCTTTGATGATACCGCTGCGGTGGAGACCTCACCTGAGCGTCGGGAGTGGGTGCAGAAGGGCGAGCGTGAGAATCTTTCGGGGGGAGATGGTGCGTCGAAGGTCGGCCATGCTGCAGCGACACAGGTACACATGGGTGTGGCCTGTTTGTCAAAAGTGTTCGTTCGTATGTGTGTCGTGTCGTGTGTGGGGTCAGGTTGGCGAGTCTTTGGACCGCATAGTTTTCATTCACCCTGACAAGCCGCCTGTCATCTACTCGCACATCGCTCCCGAGGACCGCTACCCCACCACCTCTCCCCTAGCGAGCCTGGTCCCCTCCCGGGCTGCCGACACGTCGGCCACACACATGCAGTCGCAATACACATCGAAGCCCAAGCCGCCCACACGCCCGGGTGGGAACAACACGACAACACACCCAAGGATGGGGGGAAATGAATCCGTCCGTGTCTGCTCTGTGTTCGTGGTCATGCAGTCGTGAAGGTCGAGCCCGGTCGGCTGGCCAAGCGTCACGACCCTGTGGCGATGGGTGCTAGGTATCGTCAGGAATGGCAGAACTTGCCGCGGGTCGTCACGGGGCGTGCGAGGCCCCGACCGGCCACCGACGTTTCACGGCGACTGGGTGAGATGCGGGGCGATGAGGGACGCTTCTTGTGAGAGTCATGCACTGGCTATGCACGTGTGTGTGTGTGCGTGTGACCTCAGGTTTTGACGATACACATCGTGGCTGATACGATCACCCTGCTGACCGTAGCTGATAGCAACAGTCGGCGTTGTGCATAATTGTCTATACTTGTTTATTTCCACATGTGCAAGGCAGGCAGCATGCTTCTTTTGGGGGGCTGCAGACAGACGGTGTGTGTGGTTTCCTTTGCCCTTTATTGTTTTATCTTTGGTGTGTGCAGTGCATTGGTGTAAGTACCATGTGTGTATATAGACATATACTCGCTCCGCCCCTGTGCCGGCATGCGTGGACTGAAATGTCGAGTGAGTGGCTGGCTGACGGGCTGTCTGATGCTCTCTCTCCTACTTGTGAACAGACAGACAGGAAGAGAGGCTGCCTCGCCTCGCGCGTCGCCTGGTGTCCTTCCTGTCTGTGGATGGGATGTCAAGATGGATGGCCGATACGGAAAGGGAGGGAGGGTAACGCGTCAGTGACCGGGGTGTGACATGCTCATGCTTCATGTGTGGCGGACAGACTCTGTCTGTATTCCAATAAATACTGCCGGAAGAGCCTGGCCAAGAAGATCGCAGCAGATGATGATCCGCATGCAGAGCAGCCGCAGCCCCCAGACCCCCACCCACCGTCTCCGAGTCCGAGACTCTCCATTGCTTGCTCCTTTTCCTCATGATGTATGTAACTGTTGGTCAAGATTCGAGTCCCGGCGATGGGTTTCCTTCAAGCTCAAGCCGGACATTTGTCAGGCGAGGCAAGAGCACGGCCTACCGGATGCGCAGGTTCACCCCACTGATGCAGCAGGAGAGAGGCGACGGGACCTACCTTCAACAGCAGCCAGAGAGCTACGCGCTACCCCATGAATGGTACAGGTGAGAGAAGAGCCTAGAACCCCGCTGATCTGCCGTTCCTCTGTCTGTGTTTGCTTTCGCCAGGCAATGGAGCGCTGCTGTCCCTGTGAGCATCCCCTCGTCTGCCCCTCCCCCACCTCCCCATCCCGTCACGCCCGCGCCACCTGACGCCTCTCCAGAGCTTCAGGGCGCCACGCTGACTGTCAGCCCTCCTCGGTGGCAGCCGCCCGTTCCTTCCCCGGCGCCATTGAACTGGGGAGACATTCAGAAGGGCGTCACGGCCCTGTCGTCGCCATCTGTCACGCCGCAGGTCGTGCTGCCGGCTGGAGGAAGGGATGGCGACACAGCAGGAGAACCAGATGGGGCTGCTCCTGTTGTGACCCACGAGACCGTGAAGCCACAGGTGGGGGAGAAGAAGGTGGTGAGGCTGAAGAGCACCAAGGGGCGCAAGGGGCTTCGCGAGAGGGCTCCCTACAAGACCCGTATTCCCGCCGATTATGATGGGGGACACTCAGCAGAAGGAGAGGAAGAGGACTGGGGCCGACTGTCTCCGCAGAATGCCGTCCTGCCGCCTCCGTTTCAACCCCCAGCAGTGACGGCTGTGCAGCCCCCGAAGATCACCGACTTGGAGGGTTTGATGTCTCTGCCGACTGTTGTCGTCCCTCCCGAGAAGTTGCTCCCCGAGAGACAGCCATTCAGCGCAAGAGAGCCGCCGGTTGATGTCACGGCTGTTAATCATGACGACCGGCCTGTCAGGGGCCCAAAGCAGTGGACGGCGAAGGGCGGGGATGCAATATGGATTCCCCTGACGCCTCCGCAGGTGGAATCGAAGGCACACACGGCCAAAAAAGGCAAGGTCACGACGAAGAGGCCAAAGACAGCGTCTTCGATCCTTCAACCTTCAAAGGACGTGAGCCCTTCTTTTCCATTACAAACCACGCGGAGCAGAATCTCCACTTCTGTCTTTTTTGGCAGGATATCTATGTCAACCGCCTCAAGGCGCTGCGTCTCCACACCGGGGTTCCCACGCGGAGCCACTCTATCCCTGTGGAGGGCAAGGGCGACAGGGAGGAGCACCCTTTACTCTCACCGCTTCCCAAGGATTTGCCGCAGAGCCGTCTCTGTGCCTTCCACTCTCAGCCGAAGCGGACGCCCCTCATTTCCCGCCACGAACCGCCCCCAAACGAAGTGAAGCCGGCGCGCCCAGCGACTGCCCCTCTCGGCCGATCAGTGTCGGTAGGTGCGCTTGCCAAGAAGTCGAAGGGTCAAGAGCCTCGTGAGCATGTGGTCAAGAGCCCGATACCGTTGACGCCGCCTCGCCGAGAGCCTGACAAGACGCAGCGAGAGGGGACGCCTGCGGATGGGTTGGCGATGAAGCAGCCTGTTATCTTGAAGGCCCCACCAGTCAAGACCATTGTGGCATCTTTCGAGGCCAAGGCAAAGCTGTCTTCTGCCAAGGAACTCTCGCCAGGCAAGACCAGCCTCATCATCGATGGCGGCAGCGCCTCACAAGTGACATCCTCCCACCCTACCCCTACTAAGCAGAGGGCGATTGTCTCGGCCACCAGAGCACCTACAAAGGCACCCGTGAAGCCGCCATTAGCAGAGCCGCCGCCCAAGATCGATCGCAAGACTGCGGCAAGGGAGCGGACAACGGCCTTGCAGAAGGCAGTGGAAGAGCCGCAGAAGCGAGGTGCGTCCCGCACGGATACGCACCCGATACTGCTGCAGAAAATGTCGAGCGAGAAGCTTGTGGTCTCGAGAGGGGACCAGACACTGAGCGAACACGAGATCCACGCTATGCTCTCGTTTGGAGGTCCGAAGGCACCTGTGGCTGAGGCGATACCAGCCCATGGACCGCCGCTACACGTGAAGAAACCTGCAGTTCCACTCAAGAGGCCGCCGGCGATCGAAGCCAAGGAGTCCATCGTCACACCAACGGCACAGGGCATCAGCCTCAAAGTAAAGGCACTAAGAGACCAACAAGCCGGTCTACCGCCGCAGTCAGAGGAATTACTGAAGATTCCCTCTCCAGCGCGGCCTGGCGAGGATGGCCAAATGGCGCTTCCGAAGCTCGGAGTGGTCTCGTCCCTCCAAGAGAGAATGGCGGCAAAAGCTCGACACGCCCCATCTGCCATTCACAGGCGGACCCTTCCCGTCAAGCCTCGGTCGTTCATGCCCAAGGCACCATTCCCGATGAGTCCCGCGCAGGAAGAAAAGTTGAGGGCATGGCTCGAAGAGACAGTGGCGCACCACCTGGCGCAAGTAAATGCCGTCCAAGTGGGCCTCACTCCTGGACAAATGGCAGGATCGCAGGTGCCAAAGAGTCGGTACAAAGCACCAGCGCCCAACATCGCACGAGTGGAGGCGCGAAGCCCCACAGCTCAGGTCAATGATGTCTCGAAGAACTTCGAGAGCCCGAGGGATCAGCTTGTATCGCAGAGTAATGATGGCTCGCGTCCGGCCAGTTCCCAGTCGCCACCGCCTTCGTTGCGACCGTCGTCAGCCAGTGTACATCGACGTGAGGCGCTGAGCCAACAGAGCCGCGCTACCAAAGACGTGATGGCTGAGGAGGTCAGCGGGGCAGGCGAGAGACAAGGGAGACAGGCATACGTTAATCGTGTCTTTCTGACTGGCTGCGTCCGTGTATGTCAGCCGGTCGACGAACCTCGTCGCTTCGTGGCTCGTGTGGGCGGGGGTTTCATGAGCTGCTCCACCTTCCTACGAGTCGGCACATCACGACCACAAACGCCACAGAGGCAATCACAAGGTCACGTCTCCATAAATTACTTGTGTCTGTCTCATCGTCTGAATGGGCGCCCTGTGCCCGTGTGTGCAGGTGCCGGCGTTGACGTCGATGTGTATGCTCTGGAGCACGACAGGACCTACCAGCTGACCCGTGACAGCGCCTATACGGCCTGCCTGGCGCGGCGCGTGGCGCCCCAGACGCTTATCGACGCCGCGCAACAGGCTGAGTTCAGCCAGTCGGTCAAGATAGTTGACTGACGAGCCAAAGTTGGCATCCACGTGAGCTGCGATAGCTGCATTTCCACGCGCTCTGCCGTCAGACGACCGCGGTCGAGTGGATCTGTATGTGGTATCCCATTCGTACATCATCCGTTCCCTGCTTAATTACGAATCCCATTCCGTCCAAAAGAGTCAGATGCGCTTCATGTGTGTCTCATTCAGCATCGTGACCTATCGCCTCTGTGCAAGTGCAAAGCAACTCAAGGATGGCTGGCTGGCGTGCGGATCAGAAAGACCTATAGCCTGGCGGCCCGAGTTGCATGAGGGCACAGCTCATAGAACGTCACTTTGCCGTATCGCTCATCGTGCAGTGCTCTTAGAATGAAGAGAACAATGTAAGGTAACAAGCCGCAGATTAGTGAGGCAGAGGCAGACAGGAGAGTCACCAGCCTGTATTTCACCACACCGGACTCCTTCTCGCTCCTCAAGATCGGCAGGTTGTGCAGCCGCACAGAAATCTTCAAGACATGACACACACACACGCAGAGACCCATAGAGACACGACATTGGAGCCGCTCCCTTTTGATGTGCCTGCCCACCATGAACAGGACGACTTCGCATGCCATCTCGATGGCGACGAGAAGACACAGCCCGCCCAGCCTCTCGAACAGCCGCGGCAGCGAGGGAGACAGCAGCTGCTCCATCGATATGAGTAACAGATTGATGAAAACCATTAAGAAGCTCTCGGTCTGATTGTAGGCATGAGTTTGGTCCGCCAATGCACGAAGGTATCGTGGCTTGACGTCGAAGGCGATGAACTATGTGGCACACACACATTCACACACAAAGGAGACTCGTGTACATACATTGTATAACTGGCTCCATGTGTGGGCTGACATTGGATTGAAGATCGAGTGTCGACGTCATAGACGATACCCTGCTGGCTGACCGGGGCCTTCGTCGGCCAGCCCTCATGACTTGCTGATAGTGCTGACTGGGCGACCGGCGCGGTGTCTCGGCTGAGCTCAATCGACTCATGGACTTGCGCGATTCCTCCCAGCTCACTGCTGGCGTGCTGAATGCGTCGCTGCTTGTTGATTCAGCCATCAGATGGGGACAGTCCGCAGCCTTGGGAGCTTTGCATGTCTCAGCCTTTTCTGCCTCCGGGGTTGACTGGGCATCCCGACTGAGCATTCGGATGATGTTAGCGTGGAGTATGTCAGCATAGGGCACCACCAGATCGCCAAGGAGATCGTAGAGGGCGAACGAGAAAGACGATATGATCTTGCTGCTAAGATTCTCCATCTTCGCCTGTTGTAAGAAGGGCAGAGACATGAGGTACACACGGCTGTCTGCTGATGCATGGTGCGGGCATACATGCCTGGAGTAGCCGCGGCAGGAATAGTGACCCGAAGCCGACGTAGAGCATAATAGCGTAGTTGCGCAGCGGCGGGCCGTCGCGCATCTTTCTGATTGTTCCACCGGCCACGGCCACCAAAGGCCAGGAGATCAGCAGACACAAAGACGCCACTCGGGCCCTCTCGGTGTCCGTCGTGGCCGCCTCTGCCTGTTTTACAAAAAGTAGTGACCAGAGCGTTAGGGCGACGACCGAGAGCAGCAGGACGAAGAACATTTGCAGCGCATAGAGCCACCTATGTTTGACGCCCTCCATGCTTCCCGCAGCACGTCCAAAGAAGCCCAGCCCCACAGCAAAGATCCAGAAGAGGTGCTCGAGCGCCACGAGGACCCAGGTGTAACGCTGTCAGCCGACTGTGACTATGAAATAGTACGAGAAGGCGGCCGCCGAGGGCAAGAGGAACACAATCCACGTCTGTCGGAATCGTGCCCACAGCCTACGCAAGTGCATCCCCTCCACGATAAGTAGCATCCACACAATAGCGGCCACGATCATCACAGAAACCCGCACGTAGTCCACCGCTATGCCGACTCGCGCACTCTCACTTTGGCAGCTTTTCCAGTATGCAATTAGAATGCCGACCCACGGCAGTGCCATCATAAGGGAAAAGAAGGCTTGGAACAAGACCGCTGTGATAGCACGGCGCAGAGATTGAGAGAAGGGCTCTGGCGAAAACCGAGAGCCAGCCACGACCTCCCTCACGTAAACGGTGTCTCCGTCATTTGTCACAGCGGGTTCGTAAACCAAGTGCGAGGTGAATTCCTCAAAGGCCGCGGGGTACCCTACACATCGGTGCAGCCAAGCAGAGGACTCACCAGGTTTGTACTGTTACCAGATTAGTGCTGTGTGCCAGAGCTCGTTTCTGTGGCTCACCGGCAGCCTTCTCGAACTCGCTCTTCATGATCAAAATAGCCATCTCCTCAGCCCTCAGTGAGGGCCCCTCTTCAGAGATGTCCGGAAGAGTGGTCGAATGTGAGCACGTGGGGTGAGTCAGATGCGGCTTCGCCTGCTCCCTGACGGCGCCTTGATGGTTGAAGTCGTTGCTCTTGCTGAGATGCGGAACTGCGGCCTGCTCGTCTTCTGTCGTGAGCTCTCCTGGCTGAACCCCCTGGCTGCATGGCGGGGGGGTGCAAATGTCTGGGTTGCTGAAGTCAACGAAGATCTCTGTGTCCCTTCTGAGAGCAGATCCATGGCTCCCCTCAGCTCTGTCGGATGGTTGTGGCTGCACATGGTCTTCTTGATCATCGCCGGGGCTGATCGCGTCGCCGGACGGCCTCTTGATCATGTGTTCAGTGTTCACTCCTGTCGTGGTAACCTTGGGAATGTCAGAGGAAATTGAAGACCCCCTGTTCTCCTTTCGCCAAATTTGGGCGGTGGGGCTCGAGTCAATTTACAAATTCAGATCAATCTCCAGCGAGAAGTATGTATCCTGCTCATTCACTCACCGCAAATCATGTCTATCGGACGTCATTTCTCTCCCATACATATCCCATTGCTTTTCTCCGAGTAGGTGTAAGTGTGAGTGTACTTCGCATGTCTGGGGCAAGTGGCATTCCCCGCGCCTACAAATCAAACATGCACCTATCATCATCTTCTGTGTCTGTGCAGCGCGGCACACACGAAGGTCCCACCGCCCACCTCGACTGAAAACCCCATATCAATCATCCCGATCACGCGTGCGCTCGGACGAAAAGACAGACATCCGTGTACGCATCCAATATGAATGCGTAATGCAATGCATTGCTGGATCCCTTACAGACAGCCATACGTAAGCCAAAACTCAAAGCAGATGCCGACATCCCCCTCGCTCACAGCACGTTAGACCGCTGACACACGTCCAAAACGTCGTCCATAGCCCCTCAGCTGGCGAGCTATCCGTCTCCATCTTTTTATGTCAAAAGGGTCTCGTAGGATATATAGGGACACGGTTCAACCAAACGGATATCGCCATAGACGGTCGGCTGCAGGCCACGAAGCAGAAAGGGGATGATGTAGGGTGTAAGTGAACATGCAAAGAGGGTGCACGCGGCAAACAAGGTGAACAGTCTGCATTTCTTTACACCAGGCTCATCCTCGCTTAAACAAATAGGCAGGTTGTGCAGCCACACTGCCACCTAGACACATAAGATACACACACGAATAGGAGGTACAGCCTGTGTGGAATGTCCCATGTGTCTCCCTCCCTTCTCCCTCTCACTAGCCAGGACTCGGACCCACCATGAACAGGACGACTTCGCATGCCATCTCGATGGTGACCAGGAGACACAGCCTGCCCGGCCTCTCGAACAGCCGGGACAGCGAGGGAGACAGCAGCTGCTCCATCAACATCAACGACAGATTGATGAAAATGAGAACCAGGCTCTCGGCTTGGTTGTAGGCATGGGTTTGGTCCGCCAACGCGCGAAGGTACCTCGGACGGACGTCATAGGCCATGAAATTGCTCTGCAGATCGACCACGGACGTCACGGATGATAGACCGCTTGTTGTCGACCGCATGCGGCCTGCCCGCATCACACTCTGATAGATCTCACTCGACGATCGCCGCGGCTCTCCTTTGCCCGCACGGCTCTTGGATGCTCCAGTACTAATTGTTTTGCTGCTGCCGGACTCAGCAACGTGCTGCAAGCAGCCTTTAACCGCCTTGCAGGCCCCTGTCTTGTGTGCCGGCTTGGCTGATTGGTTGTCAGTTGTCACGTGTCCGTGTGAGCATTCGGATGATCTTGGCGTGGAGTATGTCAGCATAGGGCACCGCCAGATCGCCAAGGAGATCGTAGAGGGCGAACAAGAAAGACGATATGATCTTGCTGCTAAGATTCACCATCTTCGTCTGCAAAAACATGCGGCGGATAAAAAGATAAAGACCAGCACAAAAACGTGATGCACACTGATATGTCATCCGGCTGCGTGACCTGTAGGAGCCGAGGCACGACGAGCGAGCCGAGACACTGACAACCACACTTTCGTGAGATGAAAAATCTTTCTCTCTTTATGTATATGCGACGCGTACAAGGTAGTAAATGACGCTGTAATTGTAGAGCGGCGGCCCATCTTTCATCTTTCGCACACTCCCATTCACCACGGCCACCAACGGCCAACAGGCCAGGAGACATGCGAACGCCACTCGGGCCCTCTCGGTGTCTGTCGCCGCCCTCTCACCTCTCGGAAGGAATATAGCAACCCAGAAAAATTGGCCAATCACCGAAATACTTAGAATGAACATCATTTGCAGTACGTACGGCCATCGCCTCTTAACCACACTGGGCATGTCTCTTGTTGCTTGCCAGAATAGCCCAAATGGCGTCAGGATCCCCTCGCCCACATGTCCCAGTCTGTAGGTGACAGACGTGACGAAACAGGAAACATGCATTTGTTCTCAGCCTCAATGCTCTCAAGCTGCCTCCTTGCGTGTCTCACTTACGACAAAAACATGAGGGCATACGGCCGAAGTCGACGCTCCATGTAGAAAGCGTTGAATGCAAAATGGCATACTGCAACCGTCGTGCATCCATCCATCCATCCATCCATTCGTGGTCGTCATTCCTTCTTGTGTGTATGGATGTGTGTGCAGGAATGTGCGTGCACCTATAGGCAGCACGAAATGGTGCCACGTTCTCTGGAACCGGCGAAATAATCTCTCAAGGCGGTGTCCCTCAACCATCGCGAAGTACCATACGGTGAGGGATAAAGAGGCAATAAAAAGCCTTACGTAGTCTACCATGATCCGTAATGCTTTTGCCTTAGATTCGCACGTTCGCCAAAGGGCGATCGGCAAGGGTATCTGTGCATGTGTACAAGAAGCGATGAATCGCACCCCTTCCATCCGTCTTCTTCCTGGAAAGTATAGCCCACCATCGACAACGCCAAGACAGTGGCATACAGCACTTGTAGCATGACCACACGCACCACTCGCCGCAATGACCGCATGAATGGCTCAGGCGTAAACCGAGTGCCGACCAGCACTTCCCGCAGGTGAATTGTCTCTCCGTCATCCGCTACGGTTTTCTGCTCATAGACCAGGTGCGATTCGAATTCCTCAAAGGCCGCCGGGTACCCTGCACATCGGTGCAGCCAAGCAGAGGACTCACCAGGTTTGTACTGTTACCACATAAGTGCTGTGTGCGAGAGCTCGTTCCTGTGGCTCACCGGCAGCCTTCTCGAACTCCGTCTTCATCGCCTGGATGGCCATCTCCTCGGCCCTTTGCGGCCCCGGCCCCCCCTCCTCGGAGATGTCCGGAAGAGTGAAGGTCGACTGTGACATTGCATGATGGCTGGGCCTTCTGAAAGCATCATCGTTAACATGGACGCTCGCCGCCTCTCCTTGTCGGAGGTCAAGGTCCAGGAGGCAGTCGCTGCTCTGAATCTCCTGGCTGAGAGCACGGCCCTTCTCGGCGATGAGCTCTTGGGGCCTCCCTTGGTCCTCATGTAACCGCGTCGCGGATGTGTTCTCGCAGCTGGGGCCGACGGAGGTGTGCATGTCCTGCCGGAGAGCACATTGGCGCCGCCCCTCACCCCTGTCGGCTGGCTGCGACCGCCCCTCTGAGTCAAAGTTGCTGGGGCTGACTCTGGGGCTGGTACTGTCACCGTCTGTCGGAAGTGGAAGGACCATGGTAGTGGAACTCATCTCAGACATCATAATGGGAGAGAACGGGAAAGGGGTGCGACTGCAAGGCAAGCTCGCGCCCTCCCCACACAAGTGCGTTCCTCTGCAATCACTCACTCATGCGTGTTGCTCGCTGTTTCTGCGTGTGATTGATCCGATGGACACACACACACCACTGCATGGCCCATGCATGCGTCTGTCTGTGTCTCTGACTGACAAAAACACCGCACAACTTTGTACCTGCAGCAAGTACTCAGTGTCAGTCTGTACGTCTGTCTGTATTCACGTGTGTTATACGCAATATGTATATCTGTACATACACACACATGTATATATATGTATATATACGCATGTGTGTGCACCGTACGTATACGTGTGTACGCGTATGCGTATGTGTGAGTGTCCACATGTTTCCACGTAAGGTAGCGAGTGGAGCGCCCATCTGTGGACATGGTCCCTGGTCGCCAGGAAGTATACTGGAGTACAATAGTGGAGACGGTAAGACTGCACAAAAGAGCAAACACCACAACCAAGGCGTGCACCGTGCTGCACACATGTCAAAACAGCCCCTCAGGTGTGTGTGGTGCCGGTGAAAAAAACGCGTACGCATGCATAGACTAAACATCACTATAACTATTACAAAATCCCATCTCTCCGCTGCACACACACACGGCTCCCCAGACTAAGTCCCCCTTGGTGCTGCGTGCTGCCGTTGGCGCGCACGGAACTCTAGTTGGCTGACAGATAGACACACACACACGCACATGGGCCGCCCACCCGACCTTTTTGCGGATCGGTGCGTGTCCTGCTCTGCTCTGCTCTGCTCTGCTCTGCTGGACATACCCTTGAGCGTGTTCATGAGACTGAACCAGGCGGGCTTCTTGTTGAACTTGGCGTCGTAGATGAAGGGATGGTCCTCTGATGAGACACACACAGGCAGGCACGCAGGCAGGCAGGGGTGAATGGATGAGTGTTGGTGCATGTGCTGTGCCATCAGTGGCGGTTTGCTGGCTCGAGGTCTGTCCTTACTGGGCCGCCATGTCCATCTGTCCGACACGCCCCACGTGACGAACGCCGTGCAGTTGGGGGCCTTCATGCATACGCGAAGCATGCCAGCGAAGATTTTGGCCTGCACACGCGCAGAGACACAGGCAACCAAGAGAGATCAAACTAATACGGGCGGTGTTTGAGTGTGTGCTCCCACCTGCTGCTCCCGCTTCTTCTGGTTCCACCCCTGGCAGAACTGCCACTTGCCCTTGACAGGCCGGCCGCACGTCACGTCAACCTCAGTCAGCTGGACCTGCACGCGCAAGGGCACCCACCAACAGCCACACGAGACAAAGGGAGGCACAGGGGCTGTGTGGTGTCTCTCATCGCGTGTGTGGGAATGCACTCGCCTCCAATCCCATCTGGCCGAGCCGCTTGAAGTTCTGCGCCACGCCATTGTAGTCTGCGTGACCAACAGCATCGCACAACACACACACAGATATCAGGTCTCCTGGTCTATGCTGGTCCGTGTGGAGTGAGAACCGCTCCAGTCGAGGGAGAGATGACTGAGAAAACAAGAGCAAGCAAGCAAGCAGGAAATCGTGTGCGGGGATGTTGTCCTGTGATGTGTGCGGCTGCTCACGCCTGAAAGCCAACGCCGTCAATGGGGGCACCCCTGAGAAGAAACGAATACGGCACACACAGGCCACCATCCATACGCGCGCGCGTGTGTGTGTGCATATCATGTGAGTCGCCTCACCGTGCCCGCAGCTGCTTGACAATGTGAAATATGGCGTCGGCCTTGCCCTTCATCCAGCCCCGGGAGCTCTCGGCGCCGAAGTCGTTGTAGAAGAGGCGGGCGGGCTTCTTGAGGCGGCTGGCCTCGTTCTTGGCCACGCGATGCAGCACCTCCAGGTGGTCGGGGAACTTCTTGTACAGCATGCTCTTGCGCCACTTGGGGTTCTTCGCAGGGCTCTTCTGGGTTTGCTGAGACGAAGGAAGCCACACAGACAAATGGAGGAGCGGATGGACGGATGGATGGTGCATGGGCGTGTGGGGTGTGTGTGTGTGTGCAGGTGGGTACCTCCAGGGCCTCGTTGGCTACGTCCCACGACTGCACGCGTGGCTGGGCGTATCGCTTGATGGCGTCCTTGGTGAACTTGATGAACAAGTCGCGGAACTGTTTCTGCGGCAGCGCGTTGACCCAGCCGGGTGTGGACGAGTACCAGGCGATGGCGTGGTAGCGATAGTACTGCCCCTCCTTCTTGGCCAGGTCCAGCAGCGCGTCGCACTCCTTCCAGTCGTAACCCTTATTCTTGACCCTGATCAGTCCAACAAAGAGGGGCAAAGCGGTGGTGAGATGTGCGTGTTGGAAGTGGATGGATGTGCATGTGTACTTCATGATCTTTCTCATCTTGCACTCAGACTTGGCCTGCAGGGCACCACACACACGGCAGATGGATTGATGGATTCACAAGGATCCATCCATTGTGTAAAATGCGATTACACCCGCACCCACACTTACATCCATCCATCCATCGACCCGCCCACGTACCACAATCATGTTGAACTCTCGTCTGGTGATGTCCCTGTATTGCTTGAAGTCGTTCTGGTTGTAGATAGACACCGCACAGCCGAAGAAGAGGTTCTTGCCCCACGCTATGTGCCGAAAGGTCCCCGGTTGGCCCCTGCGGACGGCCTTCTTGGGAAACACGCTCTTCCAGTTGCTCACCTGGAGAAAAGGGGAGAACAAGACCATGGCGTGGACGCATTCGTCTGATGCATCGGATCTTTGCTCACCTTGTTGATTCGGGGCACTTGGGCAATGCCGCGGTCAGGCAGCAGCGCCGTCAGAAGGGCGAGGACCACACATAGATTCCACATGGTGATCTCGACCCGTACTACTGCCCCCTGAGCCAACCCCTCTCTCAGCTGGTCCACAAAGAGCTGATGACAGGGGGAAGGAGAGGGCGAAGTTTACAGCTTCCTCAAAAGCTCGCAGAAATCTGGGCTAGAGTTGCGTGCGAGATCAAGGTGAAACACACACACGCGCACGCAGATCCGGTAGAACAGGGTGGATTTCATGTATGCAGCATGCACTCGTACTCGGCACAGTTCAACAGAGAGTCTGCACATTCAGTCACGACCTTACAAACCAACACAGGCGCACACCCCATGACGTCCCCCGCGGCCCCTCCATTACATACGAGAAACAGGCGGCAGCCCGACAGGCCACCGCCAACTAAGTCGGTTGATTCTCTGTGTACTGTGCACGGTCGTTGGACGCCGAAAAAGAACCAAACCACATGCGGTGCGCATGTGTAGGTGCGTGTATCAGAAAGTGCGGCAGCGCCTGGAGGCCCAGCCATTCATTCCATTCATCGCTGGGCCTCCAGGCGCCTGGGTATGTTCCGCAGGGACGTCAGAACCTCAGCAGACTTCTGGAGCAATCCCAACAACTCAGCCTCCCTGAACCGGACAGCAACAACAACAGACCGACAGCACGGCACACCAATCACAGGCAGCAATATCGCTGTCTTCCTCTCTCTGCCCATCTTTTCCCGCCCCGATCTAATCTACACACCTGGCCACATCCAGCGGTTCATTGCCACTCTGGGGCTCCTGACACAGGCTCTGAGAATACCTGAGACGCACAGACACCAATATGTAAGCAGTCCCGTGCGCCATCCATCCATCCATCCGTCGGTGCAGGCCGTGTCTTGTCTTCCCTGCTCCTCCCTCCTTCCCTCGCTCACTTGAACATGCGGTTGAGTAAGATCTCCTCTGAGTATCTCATGGTGGCCTCAAAGCGACTGTTGAGGTCACTCCGCCTCCTCGGGTCCTCCCCGCCCCCACCGCCCTCAGGCCCCTCGCCGTCTGACGCAGCCGGCTCGATCCTCTCCCGCTGGTGGTGATGGTAGTGGTGGTGATGGTGCGCACCATTGTGGGCGTGCTCGTTGCGCGCACTCACTGACGGGTCTGCCGCCACTCGCTCCGCATCAGCAGAAGGGAGGAAGGTGCTCTGCCCCGGGCGAGAGAGGGCAAGTCTGAGGGGAATGACCTGCGACGAGGCGTTGCTGGCGGTGTTGCCGTCCTCAGTGGTGGCGGCGTCGGCCATGATGGCCATCATCTGGTTGCTTCGTGCGCCCCTCTCCCTCTCCCTCTCCCTGCCCACTGGCTCCTCACGAAGAGAAGAGTGGGGGAGGTGAGGGTGGGCGAACAGGTCGCTGTTGCTGAGGTTGCTGTTGGAGTAGTGGTGGTCGGGTGGCATGTTGGCGTGTGCGTTGGGCGGGTTGGCGGGCTGAGGGGTGGGCAGCGAGGTGGGGCTGCCGCCGTCGTTGTCGGCGTCATCACTGGAGAGGGATGCGCCGCCGGCCAGGGGAGGGGGAGGAGAGGGATCGCATGAATTGCGACCAGGAAGGGGATGTTGGAATGGCAACACCTCTGGAATATCTGCAATCACACACACCACACAAGGCGACCAGCAGATCTGATGAAGATCCATGCAATGCTCTCTTCTTCTTCTTCAGCAGCAGCAGCAGCAGCAGCTCACTTGAACGAATGTGGTTTGGGGTCTCTTCCACCTCAGCATCTTGCTGGCCGTCGTCGGGCTGCGACCCGCTTTCGCCTCCACTATCAACACCAGCCATGCCTCTCATCCTCGCGCCTCCCCCAGCCGACTGCTGAGGTTGGCTGAACGCGTGTGTGGGGGTCTCAGGGGTGCCAAGAGAGCCCTCCCGCTGCCGCCCGTCAGCACAGGACGACGCTGGTCGTGGCTCGGCAGCAAACGGGTCTGCGTCATTCTCATTGAGGCTTGACGGGTGTGTCTGGGAGAGGGGCGAGTGGGAAGAGTTGGTCTCGCCGCGGTTGTCGATATCCATGGTGTCTGAGTAGACGGCACTGCACGACGGACAGACCTTGCGTCCCTCTCGGTCTTGCATCAGAGGCACATTGCCGCCATCCTGCAACCACGGAGCGAGAGAAAGAGGGAGTGGGAGCAGGCACAGAGATATGTGGAGTGCAGATCTGGTGGTGTTGGTGTGGCATCTCTCCCTTCTGGCCGTACTGTACTGTACCTTCTGGCAGGTTTGCTCCAGATGGACAGCCTTTCATTTTCTACATTCGACAGCTCATCCATGCCAGTGCCCTCCAGCGTTTCCTCGCCATAAGCCATCCTCTTCTCCTCAACTCCTCTGGGGATCGCAAAGACACAAGCTCGCAAGCTCGCAAACACACCTCCGCATTTCTGAGGCTTCCGACGCGCTTCAAGCAACATGGTAGGACTTGGGAGGCGAGGGAGAACAGAGATCTTTGTCAGAAAAGTTGTTGCGAGGCTCTGACGTGACATCCTTCTGTGTGTGTGGTGTGTGCGTGGCGTACAGGAGCAACCGAAGCTGGCGAAGGTTGAGAAGGTGCTTGGACGAACGGGCTCGCGAGGCGGTGTCATCCAAGTCCGAGTCCAGGTCAGTTCCTTCACACCCATTCAGCGCGGCCGACGGAGGATCCGCGTCCGCTTGTCGCCTCTGTGTGTGCCAGTTTATGGGCGACAACGAGCTGCAGGGCCGCTCCCTCATCCGGAACGTCAAGGGTCCTGTGAGGGAAGGTAGGCAACACCACACGAGGCGATGCAGGGAATCGTATGGACTCGCTGTGAAAGAGATGTCTGTCTGGGCGTGTATGTTTGCAGGCGATATCTTGGCCTTGCTCGAGACTGAGCGTGAGGCGAGGAGGCTCCGCTGAGGGGCGGCGTGGTGGAGCCGCACCCCTCTCACGGCTCCTGCCCATGCGCCGTGTGTTGGGCGTGATGTGATGTGGGTGCGGGTCGGTGCTTTCGTGGGCTGGCTTTCGTGTGTGGAGGTGGACATGGATGCCGTGATGGATGGACTTTAACCACTACTGCGTGGGACTCTGCGTGTTTGTGTGAATGCGCCCTACCTCTTGTGACCGACACAGAACAACATGTGGTCAGTCAGTGTCTTATCCATCTCATGTGGTGTGCACGTCCCTGCCTTAAATCCACGAGTGGCAATCCATCCCGCCCACCAGTCGCAGAGTTTAATGGTTCTTGCACATCGAGAGGGTGCACTTCCATACACACAAGTCGTTCGGGTGAGTTGTGCGCCGAATGACTGACGACTGACTTACGCCCAAGGAACACACGCCCTCACAGACATGACATGACATGACATGCACGGTGTCTATCCATCATCACATGTATGTAATGATCGCATCACAGCGCCCACCCGCGACGCCCCCCCCGCCCCCAAAAGTGCGAACAAAACTGTGTCTGTTGGTCAGTATGCAGCTGCCAGAAGGCAGGGCACAGACAAAGAGAGACAGAGAGAGACGAGGGAAGAGGGAGAGAGGCAGTCACAAGAGTGAGTCAGTGAGCGAGTGAGCGAGTGAGTCTTCATACTTAGACGGAGAAAAATGATATACATAGTCAGTCACAGTCAGTATGCCAGATGGATAGCTGGTGCAATGGATAGACAGACGTCGCTGTGGTGGATGGATGGATGAGTGATCGAGTCAGTCGAGGGACCACCGAACCGAAAACAGCCAGCCAACGCAGAGCGATACACAGACGAGACAGAGAGAATGGATGCAGAAGTGGCGGGCATGCACGCACCCATAATACGCCCCCGTGCATTCCTGTCAATCTCAATGAATGGTGTCTTTTCGTTATCCCTGTGAAGAGAAGGACGGCATATGTATGTATGTGGAATGGTGCAATGTGACGAGCAGTGTGTGTGAACGTGTGCCTGCGTGCATATAAATGGCCACACACAATCAGAAGGCCAATGCATCCGGGTTCTAGAAAGCCGACACGCACATCGCCATCCTCGTATCGTATCGCATCACAATTCCATCCGCCCCTCTCCGTGCGCACCAACTGAATTGAAGACAAATACGTCTCCCTCCCTCCCTGCCTGCCTGCCTGCCTGCCTGCGGCGTGTGCAGCCACTCACATCATGATGCATCGCGCCAACCGCCAAGCCAAAGAAAACCAGCGAGGAAAAAAAGGCCAATACATACGACACGACAAAGTTTCTTTTCCAATCCGTCATTCATTCGTTCATTAATGGTACGTTAGGGGCAGCTGTCGGTCCAGCCTCACCCACCCCACCCACATTACACAATGAATACAACAACACACACAAATGCCCTCACACAATGGCCGCCCTCTCATCCCATCCATCAGTCAGTCCTTGTCAAGAAGCTAGCCCGCTAGCCCGTCTCCCTGTTCGGCTGCTGTTGCTGCTGTTGGGCGTGGGGTGTTCGGCTTCCCGCTGCTGCCTGCACGTGTGCAAAGGGATCAGTGAGAACAGCCGCTGGACCCTCACTACTCGGGGGCTGCTGCTGCTGCTGCTGATGCTGCTGAACGAGAGATGGTGGCTGTGGGGGCGGGGGCACAGATGGAGGAGGGGAGGCATGCTGCCGTGAGGGAGGCTTGGGGGAGCCAGTGTGCGGCACCACCCCACGCTGCTGTTGCTGTTCTCTCTCTAGAGGTGGGGTCCTCTCTCTTCCTGTGTCTTGTTGCGACAGCAGGGGATGCCGCGTCACACTTCCCACCTCCAGCACATTCGGCGTCGACACACTGTTCGGAAGAGGCGGAATGCTGCTCTCGGGGGGCCGCCGCTGCGCCAGGGCCTGATCACTGACGGGCAAAGGACCTGCTCCAGCAGCTGGCCCAGCAATGGAGACGGGAGGCGATGGGCGCACAGGTGACCCCGACAGTGGTGGGACCTCGGCTGCAGACGACGCAACGGGAGCGCCAGCAGCCGCCGCAGATGATAATGGCGGGAGATGCCCAAAAGACCGGCTGTTGTGCTGCCCCTTGTGCGCGGACGTCATTGGTGGATGGATACCTGGCCGAGCGTCCGCCGTAGTGTGGCCGGGCGTTGCTGAGGCACTGAGCCCAGAGGGACTCCTGCTATCCTCCGACGACATTCCGGGGGCGTTCTGTTGCCAAACCAGCAACTGGAAAGCCGCGGGGGGCACAGATGGACCCATCACCTGGTTGTGTGGCTGCGGGCTGCCTGGGCTGGTCGCGGGTGCCGCTGGCGCTGCCTCAGGGGTCACAGTGTCACCTTGCTGACCATGTGGACGGTTTTCGCTGGCCCTGTGGACGTCTGTCGGCGCTGTCTGCTGATGTCTCATCGATGGATGTGTCGATGCAGGAGGGGTCTGCGCCAGTGGCGGAAGTGCGGGTGGCGGTACGGGCATGGCCTGGGCTGTCATGGATGCCTCGGGAGATGACGCCGCCGATGGCCTCAGAGTCGACTCGCCCGATGAGGACCCCGACGGTCGCACCACTGGAAAGGGATTCACGCCCGGCAGCCGGTCCTCAGGCTGCCTCTGGACAGTAGGGGTCAGCACGTGTCCTCCCCTCCCGCTGCCCGGCACAATCTCAGGGGATCCTGTCGTTCCGGTACCGGCGCCGCCTGCACTCACTGCTGCAGCCGATGGTCTCTCCTCGGGGCTGTCCTCCTGCCACAGCCTGTCCGGCACGGTCCTCTCTGGCCGGATGAGAGGTGATGGCACATCTGGTGCTGGCTCGGCAGCTGGCTCCTCATGCGACGCAACAGACGTCCGGTCCTCGCGAGGTCGGCCGGGAGGGACGAGCTGGGAGGAAGCAGACGGATGGTGCGTGTTGGTCCTGCTGTGGTCCTCATCTATAAGGCAAGGGCCCCGCGCCGCTTGAGGTGGCTGGGGAGGGAACGTGACACCGACGGGCACACGCGGGACAGCGACAGGAGGCAGCCGTGCGTCGATCTGGGAAGAGGGGTAGGCCGCCGGAGGCCCCGCCGATGCAGCTGCTGTGTGGCCGGCGAGACTGTGCTGCTGCACTGGAACATGTTGGCTGTGTTGTTGTTGTTGTTGCTGCTGCTGCACCGGGATTTGGTCCAGAGGGGCCATGTGTTCTCTCTCGGTAGAAGAATGGTGCAGCGAATGGTGGTGGACGTCTCGCCGAACACCAATCCCGCCCCCTGTCCCAGCGCTTGCCATCGCGCCGTGACCTCCCATCAGATGCGCGAGAGGCTGCGACCGAGAGCGGGAGTTCTGTGACTGCATCCAAGCCGGGGATGGCCCTGCCGCATCGTCGAGCAGCTCTGATGCCAGCGGCACGCGCTCGATAGGTCGCTCCTGATGGGCTGCAGCGAACGAGACGGACGGCGAGGCCTTGTGCGGCGACCTTTCGGGGGTGCGCGGGCCTTGATGAGGTGCATAGCTTCCTTGCTGTGCCATCGATAGCGGTGCCTGCAATCAGAGAGACAGCATACACGACAAGCGATATGAGTCGCTCAGTGTTGTTTTCACGCACCTGAGGCCCCGCGTCAGCCTGGACTGCCTTGTTCTCGCCCGGACTTGATGCTGACGACACCGGCATGGTGCTGGCCGGGTGATGTGCGGGGTAGTGGCCACCCTGACCCGTGGTGGTCGTAGAATGAGACGGGTACTCATATGGCTGCTGCTGGGGGATCGCCTGATGTGGGGCATGCGGCTGTGCAGCAGCAGCAGCAGCAGCAGCAGCGGCAGGAGCCGAGACGTGGTGGTAGCCCCCGACACTTGATTGTATAGACGAGGTGGCCTCTGGAGATCCTCTTTTCTCGAGGTCGTACCCGAAGTGCTGTCTCCCCGCCGCTGATGCCGCATGCTGGTTCGGTGGGACCCCGTGCATGACCTCTGGCGCTCTGGAAGGCAGACCTTGCTGCTGCCTGAACTCCTCTTGCCTCATCATCTCGCGTCGTCTCAATTCCTCCTGCTGCCTTCGCTGCTCCTCCTCGAGGCGATTCCTCTCCTCATCCAACCGCGTGTCGGCCGATGGGAAGTGGATCTCTGGATGCGCCGCATGCTCGTGCTGAGGCGGGTGCGCCATTGTGGGGTCCGAAATCCCGTGTGGCGGGACACTCTGTGGCGGCAGAGTGTGCGCTCTGACGCCTTCCTGCCGCTGTGGGCGCGGTGCAGGTGGCTGAGAGCGGGGAGGGGACCGACCGAAGGAAGCAGGAATCGTGGCTGGAGGGGGGAAGTACCCGGCCTCAACATCACTCCCCCCGCGGCGAGGCGGCAGGTCGTCCCTACTGGGAGCAGGCCCTTGGGCAGAGTGCACTCTCCTGTTTTCAGGAGAAGGAATGGCATCAGGGAAAAGGTCCTTTGCTGGGTGAGCCGGCTGGGGTCCTGCGGGAGTGAGCAGGTGGTGCTGAGGGTGCTGCTCGGCAAGGTGCTGGTGCTGCTGTTGCATGTGGTCATAATGCCGTCTCTGGTCTGGTTGGATCGGTTCGTGCCTCAGCTGCTCCTCCTGCCCGCGGAGCAGATCCCTCTGGCGCCGCAGGTCTTCCTCACGCAGCCTCTGCTCCTCTTCTTGGCGCCTCATCTCCTGTCGCCTAGCCTCCTCTTGTTGCCTCATCATCTCACGTTGTCTTATCTCCTCCTGTTGCCTTCGCTGCTGCTCTTCCTCCATACGACGCTGCTCGGCGAGACGACGCCTCTCCTCATCCAGACGTGGGTCGCCAGCCGAAACAGCGGCGTGGTGGTGTAGCAGCGGCTGATGGGCTGCCGAGAACTGAGGATCAGACGTCCCTGAGTGAGGGATTTGAAGTGGAGGGAATGGGGCGCCGACGGAATGCTGAGACTGCGAGTGAGGCACCGACATCGGCAATGCCTCAGCCCTCGGTGGGCCCCCTCCGCCTGTCACCTCTGGTGTGGTCCTCAATGTGTCAGCTGATGATGGGTGAAGTCCAGCTGTGTCTCGTGCGCCGCTGGATGGCGATGGTGAGGTGTGGAAGGCGGCCTGCGGAGAAGGGGTTGGCTGTGGGCCCAGTTGAGGGGCATACCACATTGCAGATGACGACGCCGACGACGCCACAGATGTTCGGTCGTGTTGCTGAGCAGCACCCAGCGCAGTCTTGTGCTGCATCTCCTGACCCGCCTGCCTTCCATGTCCCGATGAGCCGTCGATGCCCCCGTACCACGCGCCAGCCGAGGGAGTGGTGCCGCTCTCAGACGGTCGGAAACCAGCCATTTGCGAGTCGCGCTGGCCCTCGTAATAGGCCCCCTTGATCTCGCCCGGGGGCTGGAGCTGGGGATGAGGCTGATGAGGTCTCGGTTCGGGAGCCCTGTCGGCAGCAATCGAACCAGACACACGCTGCTCAGGGGAGCCGGCGGGCTGTGAAGCACGGCTGACTGGGGCTGGAGGGAGAATGTCGACCCCTTTCTCGGCGGTGGCGGGTGGATATGAGGAGTCTTCAGGAGGCCTTGCGTGAGGCTGTGGCGTCTGATGAACTGGTAACGCCGCTTGGCCCTGCATCGGTGGTGTTGCTGGTGCGACAGGCTGCTGCAGCGGCCGAGATGGACCTGGCACTGGTACCGCGCTACTGGGGGGCAGTGGCGGGCGTCCTCCACGTGAGGGGTGGGAGGAGTCTCGGGGCACAGGGGCCGGTATACCGAACCAGTAGTTGCTGGGCTCCACTGGCGAGCCCTCCCGCGGGAGAGTCCGCAAGACGGCCGCTTCGTCGTTGAGACGCCTCTGCGTCAGCAATCGCGCCTCGTCGTCAGTGATCTTGGGGATGAGGTGGGACGCGTGGTTGGATGGCGGGTACTCCCGCTTGTAGGGATCCTTGCGCAGCGCCTCGTCCTCACTGTCCAGCGACTTGGCCGACGGCACAGACATCTGTGGCGGGCGGCTGAAGAGCTCGAGCTGCAGCGGGCGATTGTCCTGCAGAGCCGGTCCTGCTGGTAGCTGAATGCTACCGGCAAACGACACCGGTGCGCCCTCGCCAGGCCGCAAGGTGCCCCTCCATCCCGACGCTGCCTTTGGCTTGCCCACCTTGGCACCATGCATGCCTAGATTGGGTGAGGTGAGGCTGCCCTGGAATCCCGTTTCTTGCGGCACAGCGAGGGTCGTGTGTGGCCCCTGCCAGGCGAGGTTGGTGAGGCGCCCGGTGCTCATGAGGTCTCCCGCCTCCGGCAACGTGCTCGTGGTCGACCGCCGGCCCTTGTCCTTCTCCTTGTGACGCGTCTGCGGCTCTCGTGCGTGAAGGGCCCCGGTAGTTGGCGATCGCTGGGTGCCGAATGACGATGAGGGCAGCGTGGTCGGGCGTCCGTAGATGAGGGGCTCGCCGCTGTCCTGCCTGTCTGGGGGGAACCCTCCATGGAACCCTCCACCATAGGCAAACCCAACAGGGCTGCCGACGCGGGGCGGGGACGCTGCGGCTGGCACCGGCCGGCCCAACTCCCGCAAAGGGTGAAACCTGCACACAGATCACAACACACATAGATCCAGTCAAGCCAGATCCCGCTGTGATTTGGTGTTTGGGTGTCCGTAGACCTACAGAGGGTACGTGTCTTCGTATGAGGTCGGAGGTGACACTCGGCCGCCCGCAGCAGGAGCAGCAGCGGCACCCCCATACAACGACATAGACTGTGGCCCTTCGGGTATGCTGATGGGCAAGCGAGGTGGTCGGGGTACAGGCGGCTGGCCAAGGGCGCTCACAGCCATCCCTCCCAGTGCAGCATATGGCGTGGGCACTTCAGCTGGCCGTGGCTGCTCAGTCTTGCTGGCTACCGGCAACGAGGGGGCGGCCCGGTGCAGCCACTCAGCCGTCCTCTCGGTCATGCTGCCCGCCTGGGGCGGCTCCGCCACCGGCTGTGCAACTGACGGCAGCGGCACTGAGAAGTCCCTGCTGGGCTTCGGCTGCACGGGTGCGCGGAACTCGGGGGCTATCGTGTTGGCAGGGGTGTAGGGAAACCCGTGGGACACTTCAGCAGCTGGGACGCTTGGCTGTCCAGGGAGAGGAGGGAGGGGAGCAGACACCGCCTCGGGCGGGACTTGAGCACTCGCCACGACATGCGAGTCCTGATCGAGCCGCCGGCCGTCCGGAAGGACGTAGTGGGCCTTGTTTTCATCGAGTGGCACCTGCTGCCAGAAGGGGCTGGGGAGGTTGGATTCCCACTCCGGTCGCTCGGGCATCGGCTGGAGGTTGGATGCTGAGGCGAGCTTGGATGGCGGCACGGGTGCCGGCTGGCCGATGAAGGACGGGGGCTGGATCACGGTGAAGGGCACCGTGTAGGGCGTCTGCTGCGATGCCGCCCTGTCGGTGGTCGGCAGACGAGTCGCCATCGCACGAACCAAGCTCTGAGCACCGACAAAAGCTCATTATCTTGTGTGTTGTGCGTGTATGCCTCTTGCTAAGAGTGAGGCGCACACACCTGGACATGATAAGCGTTGGGCAGACAAAACTTCGCTTTCGACATTTTGATGCCCACACTGCATGCAACAACATACGGGACAGGAGGGAAGAGAGCATCTATGCTTGACCCAGCTGGCTGCCTGTTGTCTGCTGTGCGCACGGCCACACACCTGACAGAGTAGTATACAGCTTGAGCAGCACTCTCGGTGTCGTCGCCCTCGTCCACACCGCCGCGGGCGCACCTCCCCGCCCTGTGCCTGGTTGTGTTGGGGTGTAGCTGCTGGACGCTCTTGGGAGTGATGTCGCTGGCTGATGGGTGGACAGATGATGCGTCATTGCTCATGGCACTCACGCCATTCCCCGTGGTGGACGCGGGGATGGAGTTGACGTCGCTTCCCTTGCGGTGCAGCACCTGTACTGATATCGGCCCCTCGATCTCGTCATCCCCCTCACCCAGAGTCACGTCGCCTGCGCATTCATACATGACACGACACATGGCCGCTCCATGCCGCTTCATCCTGTCGACTCATCTGGGCGGGCATTCTACCTGCTGTTGATGCCGTGAGTCTGGGCGGCGACGCGCCTCCCGGGACCTCAAGCCGCGACGGCCGCGAGCCCGGCGATGACTGGGACGCATGAGAGGTGGGTGGGGAGCGGGGCGTGTGCAGCACGGATGCCTCCTTCTGGCCGGTGCCCGTGCTCGTTGAGGTCTTGCGAAAGCATCGGTCGACGCCAAACGTCTCGAAGACGTGGAAGATGTCCTCGTCGCGCCAAGGGAAGTTCCCTGGTGATAATTTATCATCCACACGCAACCGCATACGTGTGGCGTGGGGTGGGGTGGGGCTGGCTATGGTCGCTGAGTTCTGCACTTACCGATGCAGAGAAGGAAGTCGAGTTCGTCGAAGTGTTCGCCGAACTCAAGCGACAGCATCCGCTCCTGTACGCACAGCACATGGTGTTTGGGTGTGCGACTCATGCAATTGAGAGGTCTGTCGCTCGCTCACCATGAGGTGTGCGCGGCCGCAGTTGGGAGGCCGCACCTCCACCATCCTTGGCCCAAGCACCACCTCTGCGTTGGAGTTGGCCAGCGGCCCAGCCCACAAGTGCACCAACAGGTCACGGGACTGCATACACGGCAGCAAACAAGCGAGCCGCGATGTGACTCATGCAGCTGTCTGTCTGTCGGTGTGATCGTGCTCGCGTGCGTGTACCTGTTGTTGTCCAAAGTCGGGTAGCGTGTCGTCCCAGTACCACGTGAGGCTGACGGTCGTGCGCTCGGTGTATGACCCGGGTGTGTGCTCCTGGAAGCTGTCGAATATCTCCTGCACACCGCTCACCCAGTCGAGGTCGGCCGCCTCGGACTCGCTCAACAGCTGCACCCACTCGCCCGTCCGCTTCCTGAACCATAAATGACACAGACAGTCAGTCAGTCAGACAGACAAGCAAGATGCTTTTGCGTGTCTTTATGTGTGTGTTGCTTGTTCACTGGCTGTCTGGCTCTTGAGTTGCTTGTGTGTGTATCACGACCGTACCTATAGACACATCCGTTTTCAGCGGCGAGGCAGACGGGGAGGTCCTTGAGGAGTCGCTCGAGTGTGGATCTGGGGTGGCTGCTGGTGATGATGACGGTCGTGTCGGGGTCGTTGCCCAGCAGAGTCAACGCCTCGCGCACCGCCTCAGGAATCTGGATCAGAGACTTGAAGCGCTTCATCGGCATCCCTTAAGGAAGCAATGCCATTGATCACAGAATCAATAGTGAGTGAAGCAATGAGCAATCAATCAATTAATGACTGCGTGACTCCCCCTCTGTGTGTGCTTGTGTGTTGTGTATGTACATACCTCTGTTGCCCCTGGCGGCGATGAGCGAGTCGAGAAGGTCGATGACGACCAGTCGCCTGGAGGACGCACGAAGATCCTCCAACACACGCTCAAACGCCAAGATGGGAGGCACCGCCGCACACACCTACGCACCAATCACAACACACGGCAAACAAATCGACTTTGTGGTGGTCTGTCTGTCTGTCTGCCTGTTGGGTGTGTGTGTGTACCTCTTCGCTCTCGGCCGATGCTTCCCTGAGGGAGTTGATGAAGGTCTCGGCCCAGGTCTGGGAGGTGTGCGTGTGCACGTGACGAAAGGCATACCTACACTCACACACACACACACACACACACACAGAGGAAGTGGATGCAGCACGTGTTGTGTGTGGTGTTGTTGGTAAGGCAACTCACTCGTGCCTCGACTGCCGTTCTTCAGGAGACATGGTGAGGGCCTGCTTGATGGCGTCAGCAGTCTCGTCCAGATTCCAGGGGTTGATGCGGATCGAACCAGCACCTACACACGCACACACACGCACAGCTACATGCTGCCCAGTCATCTGCTGTCTGCAGACTGTAGCTACCGAGCGACTGCGCAGCCCCGGCGAACTCGGACAGAATGAGCACGCCGTGTTTTCCCTCCTGGCAGGCTATGTACTCGTATGAGACGAGGTTCATGCCATCCCGGAGTGAGCTGATGAAGGCCACATCTGCCACGCGATAGAGCGCCACGAGCTCCTCGAAGGAGAGGGACTGGTCCAGGTAATGCACCGGTACCGATGCCAAGCCTCCGCGCTTGCCGATGATACGACCAACCAGCTCGTGGACCTGATCACACACGTGAGTGACACATTCATTCGATGTTTGCTGTCCATCGGGTGTGCATCTCACCTTTGATTTCAGCCGTTGGTATTCGGGCACGACGGTCCTGGAAGGTACAGCCAGCTGCACGAGGACGCACCGGTCGATCCACTCTGAGTTCTTCTCCAGGAACTGGTCGAAGCCATTCAGCTTGTGCGGAATACCCTTCATGTAGTCCAGACGGTCCACGCCCAATATCACCTGCACATACAGAAGTTAAGTCAGGTAAGGCCACCACCTCCCCCTCGTGCATCACATGAATCCACACGCACCTTCCTGTCACCGAATTTCTGCCTGAGTTGCTGTATGCCGGCGATGACGGACGGCTGCTGCAGCTTCTGGGTGAAGGATTGAGGCTCGATGCCGATGGGGATGGTGGCGCAGTAGACGAACACGCCGCCGATGGGTGACGCATCGATGCCCTGTGTGCTGCTCTCGATGCCCATGAGCTGCACGCAGCTGCTCAGGAAGTGCCGCATGTAGTCGTACACGTGGAAGGCCACCAAGTTGGACGACAGCAGACCCGAGAGGATTTCAGTGCGAAAGGGCAGCATGCGGAACACCTCTTGTGAGGGGAAGGGCGTGTGCAGGAACCAACCGATCTTGGAGTCGTTCTTGCGGTCTCGGAGCATCTTGGGGACGAGCATGAGGTGGTAGTCGTGCACCCACACATAGTCGCCGTCCTCATAGACATCGAGTATTGCGTCGACGAAGAGCTCGTTGGCCTTGCAGTAGGCCTCCCACTGCTCCATGGTGGTCTCGTTGGCCCCGTGGATGGCATCCATCGGCGGGGGGATGTAGTGGAACAGAGGCCACAAGACGTTGTTGGCGAAACCGTTATAGTACAGATCGATGATCTCTCGGTCCAAAAACACCGGGTAGCAGTTGCGCTTGCGGGCCTCGGCCACCACGCTCACCTGATCCCGCTCGAGGATCTCCGCCCCGGGCCAGCCGATCCAGACCATGTCGAAGCCCTTGATGCCCGACAGAGCAGAGACGAGTCCGCCGCTGCTCACGCTGTAGCTGTACTCGCCGCTCTCGGACCGCTTGATGGTCATGGGCAGCCGGTTGGCCACGATCAGCAGCTTGCTCTGTGCCCGCTCCTCCTCGACCTCACTGCCTCCGCCATCGGGCGGGCCAGCCCCAGTGGGCCGCTCCTGCTGCTGCTGGTGGAGGTGGCGCTGCTCGCTCTGCACCTGCTGCTGCACCCGCTCCCTCTTGTGGATGTGGCGCTTGATCTGCTCCTCAACCAACGTGTCATCACGCTGCAGACGATGTGCCGGCAGGTACCTGCACACAGATGAACAGCCACACACAGGAATTGCCTCCCCATGAGTCCGTCGCTTTCATGTCGCGTGTGTGTCGGGCTTACGGGCCGAAAACGGAGGCGGGATGGGACATGGCGAGGCGTGGCCTGAAAGCACAACGAACGGCGCACAAGCACATGCTTCGCCTGCTCAACATGACATCGCGCATTTCCTACCTGATGAGCCGCTGCTGTGGCGATGCTGGACGAAAGCACAGTCAGTAGTAGTGCTGACAAGCCGAAGTAGTGGAATACAATCGAAAAGTGGCTGCTTGATGCGCTTGCGAAGCCAGGTAAGCGTAGTGGAAGATACGAAGCACAGAGAGTAGATTTTTTAATAGGATATGGTGCAGGCGGCTTCGTGAGATGCCGACTTCCATCGGAGCCGGAAACTCCGTCTTTTTCTCCCGAAAAAACCGCGAGCTGCAAGCTTAGCTCGCAGATCTTCGAGAATCTTCTCGAGAATCAACACAGAGAACCATCAACACCACCACGAGAATGGCACTCCCTGACAGCCCATCAACATTCAAAGCGTGGCTCATGGAGGCGTGGGATCTGTGCCTGGATGAGCACAAGGTAATGGCGAACGATGCCACTGAATGGAACGATTGATGGATGGGCACGTGCCCTCTGCTACGTGGCGCTGCAGCGCGAGTGTGACCGGAAGGACCGAGAACGCCTCACGACACTCGCCAGATCATGCGAAGTGGCTGTCCTCAAGTGCGATATGCACCCCTCCTCAAAGACGCCGTCCATCAACGACTACAATCTGGAGGTCGAATTGGCTTTCGCAGAGAGAGGAGACCGCACGGTCAAGATATTCATCGATATGGGCCGTCTTGTGCGCCTCGTGGAGGACGAGCGAGTCAGAGAAGGTGCCAGTGGCGATGAATCTGCTGTGGAGCTTGCGATGGATCTGAGTTGGAGCGTGCAGCTGAGCGGATCTGCCAAGGAGTTGCTGGCGGAATACCACGGCACCGCCAAGCTGTTTGACGATGGATCTGTGCCGCCCTGTGCGAGTGAGGAGCGTCACGACGTCGAGAATGGTGTGCTCGAGCGACTGCGGGACGCATTGGCGCCCAACATCGACCCGCCCATCCTGTTCCTCGATCTGCTCCCGTGCATCCCTTTGGACAAGTCGGTGTCGCCCTTCAAGTACCGCCTTGCACTGCTCGAAGACCGACTTGTCGATGTGAGCCGCTCATACGTTCCTCCCTCACACGAATGGATGACCGCTCTCTCTCTGGGGTGTGTGCGCAGGAGTGTTGGGACGAGGAGGATGAGAGTGAAGCCCTCAAATCTTTGGAGGTGGCCAATGATGACGAGGAAGAGGAGGAAGATGAGGCCATGCCGCCACGCCCTGTCCCAGGGCCCGTCTCGGGTGTGCGCAGCAGCCAGAGAAAGAAGGCCAAGACCAAAAGTGGATAGGTAGTCAATCAGTCGGTCGGCCGGCCGGCGACTTTCTGGGCGGATGGGACGAGTGAAAGGGATGGATGGATGGACGGGTGTGATGCATCAATTGTGTTGTTGTCGGCATGTCGTGGCATTTGGACACATGTACTGCAGGGGGTAGCGTAGCTAGCTAGCTGTACTGAGTGTGCGCTGGCAAGAATGTGGCACTGAGAAACTTCATGGATGCACTCCACTCCAACGAATCAGAACGTGACAAATATCCTATCCTCACGCGCCTCATACAAAACATCCAATCCCATACATACTTAATCGATTCGAATCAATCAATCAATCAGCACGCTAGCTGCACCGCTATATATATCGCTGGCTGGATGCGATGCATGTGAGAGCTGTCTGGTCTGCGGGCACGTACATGTATGTCCACACGCATTGCATTCTTGCAACGGCTCCAGAAACTAATTGCAACAGAACATCAACAAAACCGCTGGCCGGCGGATCGTCGCCCATCCAAAAGAGGGCGCGCCCTCAGGCTGCCGTAGGCCCCATGTCTGTCTGTCTGTCCATTGTCTGTCCATGTGGTTGGTGTGTATGCTATGGTAGGTACCCACACTGCAGCTAGTGCAGGTGCGCTACACGCCCGAGAACTGCAGTAGTTGTGTGAGGGTGTCTTGTGGGTCGCCAGTGAGTCTGTTGCGCAGGAGGGCGTGGAGCGGCCCGCCGCTCTTGAGCGTCTCCTTGGAACCGATCTTCTTCAACGCGTAAAAGGACAATGTCACCTACACACACCCACACCCACACAGACGTAGAGCCAGGCAGGGAGGCGAGGCCTCCAGCCCAGTAGCGCAATGCATGCAATTTGTGTACCTCCGTGACGATGCGATCGATGGAGACGAACTCATCACCGAAGGCATTCCTGAAGACGACACACACACAGAGACGGACGCAGTGAGTGAAGTGCGAGGGCGTGTGTGTGGTGCTTGCTGGTCAGGCAGTGCAGTGCATCCCCTCCCTACCTGAGGAATTCTGTGATGCATCTTGCGTTATTGGGTTTTGACAGCGCATCCTTGGCCAGCTTGGACAATGCCCCAGACTTAACAACACAACAGCACGCACAACAAACCATTGATGGATGGATCGGTGGGCAGATGGCGGTTTGCTCGCCTCGCCTACTTTGGGGTCTTTGAGTTCGATGGGGTCTCCCTGCTCGTCCTCCGCCGCCATGTACCTCATCCACCCCGCCAGACCCAGCGAGCAGTGGTGGATGTGCAGACCTCGATCACACAACTCCTGCACATCCACGCCCCATCCCATCGACACAAACGAACAGACGACTCCATCAAATCAACGCAGACGACTCCTTTCATCCGTCCTTACCATGACGGATTCGCGCATGGTGTTGTAGAACTTGGTGGATCCGTCCTCTGCGATGCGTGCGATCTTGTCCTTGATGAATCGGTTGCCGAACCGCTCCACAATCTTCTCCTTGTACCGCTCGATCTCGATCCGCACGTTCTTGACCGTCGGGGTCACCTCGTCCATATACGATCGCAGAAATGACGACACCAGCACGTCAGCTACAGCATCGTCCACAAACCTGCACGGCACGGCAAGCAGACCGACAGACACACACACAGCCGGCCGGATGCATTCAGTTGAGATGGTGTGGTGTGGTGTGTGGTGTGTGGTTGCCTGTATCCGAGAAGGTATCCGAGGTAGGCGAGGACGCCGTGGCCGCCGTTGAGCAGGCGCAGCTTCATCAGCTCGTACGAATGCACATCCTTGACGAACATCGCACCCACCTGGTGGACACATACAAACAACCCAATCCAATCCAACAACCCAACACAACACAAGACACCATGGGGGCGGTGGGCTGGTTGGGGTGATCTCTCGTGTGTGTGCTGTGTGGCATCAATGTAGCCGCCCCCTCCCTCCCTCGTGTGGTAACAAACAGACATGTTCAAATCGCGGGCGGCCACACGAGAACTTGTCCTGCATTGTATGTCACACACACGTGCACCGCACCGGATACGCACCATTCGGTTGCGTGTTGTGTTGCGTTGTCGGCTGTTTCTTTCTTACCTCAATGACCCACTGTCTGAATTCCTCGGCCACGACAGGCCATTCGTCGAGGAGCAGGAAGTCCTGGGCCAGGATGTCGCGGTGCTCGGGGCCCGTCTGGGGCGTGATGCGATCAACCATCGAGCTGGGGAAGCTGCACAGATTGATGTGATGACCAGAAACATTTGCACACAGGCACGGAGAGAGAACGATGATAGGTGGGTGAGATGGGAGTGAGAGGGGCTTGCAGGCCCGCATGCCGCGGTGGGCTATAGTCACCAGACATTCTCTTCGACCCATTCCTTGAGTGCCCCCGAGGGGTCGTAGCGGCCGGCGAAATCCAACACCATTCGCCGAGCAACCTGAGAGAGGGGCACACACACATCCGACACGACAAGCTCCCCTCCCCAGCCATCCCATCCTTCTGTGTGTCGGTGAGTCAGTCAGTCTTACAATTCCGTTCTCCGGCAGGTTGTCGCAGGCCATGACGGTGAAGGGCACTTGGTTGGCGTCCCGACGGCGGATCAGACCCGCTGTGATGAACCCTATCGCACTCGACGGACATGACAGATCCTGAATGAACCCAGACAGAGAAACGGGGGACACAGAGAATGCGTGTGCATTCCCGTGCGTCGTTCTTTCCCTGCCTGCCTTGAGGTCGTGTTGTATGAGGGGGTTTTGGAAGTCGAGGCCGCCGTCCGTGGCCTGGCAGTAGCCCTTCTCCGTCACAGTGAGGCTGACGATCTTGGTGCGGGGGTCGCTCACACGCTGGATGGCCCGCTCGGGCTGGTCGGGGACGTACACGTAGTCCATCATCGAACCAACCACACGCGCAGCGTTCGACGTGCTGCTCCGCGTCAACACCTGCCCAACACACAGCACACACAAAGATGTGCATATCGGCAGACGCACACGAAACGCCCCTCTACCCTACCACAACCACCAAGACTGACTGACCGTGTAGAGGTAGTCTTGGTTTCTGAGAGCGTCTCTCATTTTGGTGTCGAATGGCATGAGGCCCACGCCGCAAAGGCCCCACTTGGGGTCCTTTGCGAGGGACTCGGCCGACTCGCCCCCGCCCCCTCCCCCGCCCGCCTTGGGGCTGCTGCTGCCGCCCGTCGCGTGCAGAGACTCGCGGGCCCTCGCCTGAGCCGTCAGCAACTCTGATCGATAGATAATGGAGAAGAGACGAGATGAGATGAGAGCTGGTTGGTTGGCCTGTGTGTGTGGTTGGTATGACTGACTGACTGACTGACCGTCCAGGTAGACGGCCTGGTGTGACCTGTGGAAGCCGCCCACACCGATGTGCATGATCCAGCAATCCACAGTCGAGGCGTCGCGGTTGTATCCTGCAGACCACACATATATATGAAGGCAGGAATGATGCTTGTCTTGTGTGTGGGAGTGTGTGTATCTGCCTGGCCTGCACCATCCCTGCACTGGAACCTAACCGTACCTACCGGGTATTTTGAGTTCGTGCCACCTATTGGCCTCTGAGAGTTTCTTGATACGCGGCAGGTTGGCCTGGCAGATGGGCAGCAGCAGCGACTTCTTCCGCGCCTCGTCCAATGACAGCAGCGGCGTGTGCGGCGAAAAATAAAACCGCAGCCAGTCCTCCTCGTTGGCGAAGTGGTGCGGCGTGGTCGGGGCCGCACCCACAGCAGCAGCACCACCACCACCGGCGGCGGCGGCATCCTTGTCGTCGATCAGCTGCTCATCGGCGAAGTCCTCACGGCTGGCACGCCGCTGGAAGTCGACGCGGGTCTTGGCGGTGGCGTCGCCCTTCCTCTGCTTGCGCTCAAACAGATCCTTGGCCTCACCACGAGCACCTGAGCAGTGAGTGAACGGGACACATACACACACACAAGGGACCGACCATACGTTTCAATGGTGTGGTTGCTGCTTGCTTCTGTTGGCTGGACATCTGACTGACCCTTGGCTCCGTGGAGGCGCCAGTTCTGGTAGCCTGCAGCCACAGAAAAGCACATGTATGTCAGACACACACACAGAGAGAGATGGATGCCGGGCCTTTCATTCATTCCGCGTGTGTCATGTATGTGACTGACCTTTTCTGAACTCGTTGGTCTTTTCGCGAATGCGGGCGATGGTCTCATAGCCGGGCAGCGATAAAGGCGCTGCCTCGTCAGGCAGGATGAGGTTGAGGGCGGCAAATTCATTCGACTCAGGGGTGATCTCCTCGCTCTCCCGCCGGTCGGGAAGCACTGCGGGGGCGCCGCTGCGCTCCTTGTCAACCTTGCTCTCCACCATCGACAAACAAACGGCCGATACGCACGAAGCAACCGAAGCGGACGCTGGCGCCCGGATACTGTGAGAAAGGCGGCTGGTTGTGTATCCAGTATGCAAAGTAGCGGCTTAATTCGAAGATGCGTGTGGCCTCTGAGCGATCTGTATCTGCGCTAGGGCAGCGAAATGCACCGTGAAAGACTTGCAAGCTTGGGCTGGCTGGCGCAAGAGTGGAAGACAGGGGTGCACACAGCAGCTCGTAGCCCTTCTGCAGCTCGTCTGGCGTGGAGGGAACCCCCTGCTGAAGGATACACACACCCTTCCCTTCCGGACGAAGAGTGGACGGGCATCCATTCCATCCTGGAAGGCACCCACGGCAGGCAGCGGCATGGCATCAGGTGAGGGGGGAAGGGCGGATCGACATTGACGGAGGGGAGGGGCGCACACGCACTTATCTACTCGCACAACCACACAATCCCATCGACCAGTGAGGCCAGTCAGTGTGTGTGCGCAGCCAGGGGGAGGGCACTCTAGCCGCCTGCACACGTGGCAAAGGCGCCCAGTGACGGTTTGTTGCCGTGTCTCTGTCAGGTTGAGATGACTGCGGGCGAGAGGGTCTCTCTGGAGGCATGGTGTGGTCAGGGCCGCCCCACTCTTTCATAACTCAAGACCAACAGCGCGCCCGCCACACACACAGCCTCCTGGCCAGCCTGCAGCACCTGACAAGACCCTCTTCGACATCTGTACCAGCACGAACACCCCCAGCGTCTTCCCGCCCGCCCCAAGCCCACGCCTTGCCGACGAGTGAGTCGACCACCGCCGGCCGGTCCGTCGTGTCGTCAATTATGGGACAGTACTTCTCTGCCAACACCGCCAACAACAACCAAGGGGGAGCTGCGCAGAGATACCAGAGACCACAAGCTGCACCAGGTGGTGCAGCCACAGCCATGGACACCGACTACTACGCCCGACCGCCCCACCACCCCCCCACCAGTGGGCAGCCACCAGCCGCCAGCAGGTACCAGAGCCTCCGCGTGACGCCCTGCTCAAGGCCCACCCAGCAGCTTCAGCGACAGCAGCAGCATCAGCAGCATCCGAATCAGGCATCGCCCACCGAGATGCCCCCCAACAAGGGCCTGCTGATGGGCGACGCGCGGTTCCAGAAGTGCCTGTCTGGCGACAGCATCACGTCGGCGTGCAGCACCCACGTGCCGAGCAGCCCCAGCTCGAGCCGCAGCAGCAGCACGGGAGGCACCCCTGCTCACTTCATCCTCAGTGAGATGACAGGCGGTCACCACGGTGGCATACCCGGTGGGCATGGACAGCTCAACGAGCTCTCCGCTGCCATGCAAATCGAGCCCACCCACCAGCACCCCCACCAGCACTCACACCAGCACCACAATCAGCCGGCCAGGCGCAGCGTGACGTCGCCCGACGGATCAACTGTCCCTGTGGGTGGCGACTACCACTGGGGGCAGCTGGGCCACCCGAGCCAGCAGCCCAGCCGTGATGCGGCGGGGGATGGGATGCCCAGCGAGCTGAGGAACACACTGCTGGCGTCCGCGGCGCAGGAGATGGTCGACTCGGGCTACTTCCCGGGCCAAGACGATGTCACCGACATGGCCAGCGCCTTCAGGAGGGTGAGCAAGCCACTCAATCGCCCACTGACCAACACACAACGTGCTCGCTGCCTGTCTGTCTGTCTGTCTGCAGGCGCCGTCTCGTGTGGCGAGTGTCCCGAGTGACGGTGGTGCCGGCAAGACGCCCGTGCAGACAGGCGCCTTCTACCCCTACCAGTCGACCCGCTCCACCCCCACCCCATCCCCGCCCCCCCTCCAGGACGAACATCCCCCGCCCTGCCCCCCCTTCGTCAGCCCCACACCACCACCACCAGCCCCCAGCGCTGCTGGGGTATACTCCCACACCCACACGCATCGAAGCGACAGGCGCCACAGCCTCGCCTCCGACTACGACGTGCGGGCGGCCCATTCATCGCACCAATCGCACCAATCGCAATATGCGTCGGTGTCTGTCTCATCGCACCATCAGCAGCATCAGCAGCAGCAGATGTTTCTCACGCCGCACGTGCGGCTGCGCGAGGCGGGTCTACTGCAGCAGCAGGACCCCCACCACAGCCTTAGCCGGGCGGGCACCTTCCCGCCACCCTGCCCGCCATATAGCTTCGACCCCCGCTCACAGCCGGGCGGCGAGGGGAGCAACGACGGCTTTGACGTGTCGATGGAGGAAAGATCCCGGCGAGGTGGGCTGATGATGGGCGGGGCCTTTGGCGGGCGAGGCGACCAGATGCGTGACAGTGTGATGGACCGTGGTGGCCCACCCACGACCGGCCCCCCGTGTGTGTCGCCCTCGTCCCCCTTCCCATACATCCTCCCCACACACCCTCCTGGCCGCGGGATGCATCACGGCCATGGGCAGCAGCGGCGTGAGCGGGACGAGACGTGTGGGCCGTACCGGTTTGAGCCGCATGACCAGGAGAAGCTGGCGCAGCTGTCGCATGACGACCTCATCCAGGCGATATCATGCCTCCTGGGTGCTATCACCAGCAGCGACAGACAGCCAGGACAGGTCAGCGGGATGGATGGTCCATATGTATACCTGTCTCACAATTCGAGTCTACGTGTGGTTATGGTTGTGGTTGTGGTGTGTGTGGCAGGTGACGAAGTTTGACGCGGTGCGCGTGCCTGGGATCTCCGTGAGGGAGTACTTCATCAGGTGGGCGAGGTGTGTTGTGCAGGTGCGTGTAGGGGTGCATGGCATGGCATGTGTCGTTGTGTCGTTGTGTGGATGCAACCATCGGTAACGTGCAGGTTGGCTGAGTTCTTCAGCTGCAGCCCCACGTGTCACCTGCTGTCGCTGATCTATATCGACCGCATCGTCAAGTGCACACCTAACTTCAAAGTCGACGCTCTCAACATACACAGGTATGTTGTACCAATCACACCTCAATCCACCCATCCATCCATACATCCATCCATCCAATACGTGCCTGCCTGCCTGCCTGCCTTCCTGCCTGCGCCAGGTTGCTGGTGACGAGCACCATGCTGGCCGCCAAGTTTTACGACGACAAGTTCCTCAGCAACGCCTATTATGCCCAGGTAGGCACACGAGCCCACTCTCTCTACTGCTGATATGGTATGGCTGATAAATACGACTGGTCGGTCGGTGAATGTCCATCAATCCATCAGGTGGGTGGTGTGAGCACCAAGGAGATCAACCGGCTGGAGCAGCGGTTCCTAGCGCTGCTCGACTACCGCCTCGTTGTCGTCCCCCACGAGTTCCACCAGTACTCCAACTACGTCATCTCACTCGCACAGGGTACGGACGGCACCATCCACCATCCAACTCAACTCACACAGACACACACACAGATATGGACTCTCTCCCTCTGTTTGTGTCTCAGTGATGCGTGGGGGCTGATAGGTGGACTCGACTGACGGATGGTCGCTCTACCAGGCTGCTTGCGCCGACGCACTGGGGGGCTGGTTGGTTGGTTGGTCGGTTGGTTGGTTGGGTGAGTGAGTGAGACGGTGGGACCGAGCGGGGAGCTCGGGTGGGATGAATGAATGGATTTATGTATACAAGCATTCATCGGTTTTGTTGGCTCACTCACTGTCTGCCTGCCTGCATACTTACAGGGATGGTGTTTGGGTGGGTGCATGACAGTTGCGAGGGGGGAGGGAGGGAGGGAGGGAGGGGAGTGGAATGGGATGGGTGGGAGTGGTCTCTATCTATCTAGCTGCCTATCTATCTGGTACCTTTCTTCCTTCCTAGGCTCTCTACTGCTGCGGTGCGGGGCTCGGCTCATTTGTATGGGTGTGGGAGAGTGGATGAGTGGATCTATCTGTGGATCTGTGGATGTGATGTCTCTGTGTGCGTACTTACGTGGCTGTCCCGCTCTGCCTGCCTGTCTGATCGATTCGTTTGAATGAATGGAATGCTGCCCGATGGATGAATGAATGGATGGGATGGCGTGTGTGAGACCGACCGAGCTAGCGACCGACTGATCGCAATTGACCCTCTTCCTTCCTTGGTCGGTGTCTGTCTGTCAGTCTATCTGGCTGGCGTGGCCGTGTCGTTTTTGGCGCTCCATCCCGTTGCCCAGACAGACGTCTGGGAATGCACTGCACGCGAGAAAAAAAGGGCTATGGGCTTCCCGCTCGCTACTCGTTCATCTTCGCACTGCCCTTGCCAACGCACCGCGGGATTGTGGTGCATGGCCATGCAATCAAACGTGGTGCGGTGCCATTGGCAGCTTAGCTTGAGGGGGACGAGGAGCACAGAGGCGGCCAGCACAGCAAGCCAAGGAAGGTGGGACGGGACAACGGGATGAAAGCACGGAGGGAGGAGGGAGGGAGGTTGGCCACAGCGAGCTTTGATGGATGGATGGATTGGTGCGTGTCGGTCGCATGTCAGGGTGGCTGGCTGGGGTGGTGGGCGGATGGTGGATGGTGGAGGGGCTGAGTGAGTGATTCGTCAAGGTGGTTTTTCAAACCCCCCCTCATCTCACCTCACCACACCCCGCCATCCACCCGTCTGTCTGGTTTGTCTGTCGTCTGCCTCCCTGCATGGGTGGGTGTACGGGATGGATGGGCTCCCTCTCACTGGTCTGTCCGCATACTTTTTGCCCGCCTGTCTGCCTGTCCGCCTGCCTGCCTGCCTGCCACAGACACGTGTGGTGTCGATTTGTTGTCCTGACTTCTTCATCTGCCGTTGTGAGAGAGAAGGGAGCAGCCAGCCAGCCAGCACGTTTCTCGTAGTCAGTTGTGTCGCCCCGTTTCCGTAGTCAGTCAGTCAGTCGCCCTGATTGTTTTCGTTTGTTCGTTTCTTTGTCTCTGTGGGTGTGTTCCTTTGTTTCCCTTGTCGTAGGCAGGTAGGTATTGCCTTTGTGTAGAGAAAGGCACACAGGTACGTATATCTACATACCATTCGTCCCGTCCCATTCACTCCCTGCCTGAGCGAGTCAGCCGGCGGGCCCTGTAGGCCACTCACTCACGCGGCGTGGCGTGGTTGGTTGATTGGATGGGGTCCATTGCTACAGAGGTACTTACATGAGTTTCTGCGTCAGTTTTAAGCAAAGGGGTGGATGGATGGATGGATGTGTCAAGGCAGCAAGTATCTCCAGGCGGCTGGGTGGTGGTGGTGATGTCTATGTGTGCAGGTGCGGCTGGGGTGGGGGGAGTGGGGGGAGGCAAGGAGAGAGAGGCTCTCTCTCTCTCTCTGTGTGTGTGTGTGTGTGTGTGTGTGAATGTGCTGTGGATGAGCACTCGCTTTGACAGATCGTCAGACAGACAGACCGGAAGGGTTTTGGAGGGGCGGGAGGACGGGACGGACGGGACAGGACAGACAGGGCACTGATAAGGCAGGATGCGCCGCGCCACAAAAGGTCTGACGACTGGCTGAACGGATGAGATGATGGGTGTGCAGTGCACACACAGGTGATGTGATGTGATTGATGATGTGGAAATGAGGAACGGCGCAGACGGACAGGCTATTCGATTTTTGTACCAGTACCCCAGCCAGACACACAGAGAGAGAGAGGGAGAGAGAGGCGCACGGTGGCGGGCGGTGGACGGGGAATGGTTTCGTGACGGCTGCATCTGACTGGCTGTACTGTTCTGACCTGACCAGCATGTCTGAGCATCGGCCGCGTGGATCTGCCTGCCTGACACTGACTGACTGAATGCTGTCCTGTCCTGTGTTCCCTCCTCTCTCCCGTCCCCCATCTTCTACCTACCATCCTCTCTCTCTATTGCCTTATCTCTATCGCTCGCTATAACCACGTACCCACCCACTGCCGACCCACAGGTGTCCATCCATCTCGGCGGGCAGGCCGCACTGCATTGGAGCTGCGCCGTTGCCCGCCGTCATTCCGTGGTTGGTGGTTTGTTTGCCTCAAGCCAAAAGTGACTGACTGACTGACTGAGTGACTGAGTGAGACTGAGAGGGAGTGGATGGGTGTGAGTGTGTGTGTGAATGATTTGCTGCATGGCGCGACATATCATATCTACTTACCATTTGAGCTGCCACACACACACACTTATCTGCATCTCATCGCACCGCATCGCATGACATCGTCCAGTGAGTGGACCCCCTGGCTGATCCGCCCGTCTGTCTGTCTGTCCATGTGATCGCACATATTTTTCCACGCGAGCTGGCTTGGCACGGACGCTCATCCAGGTTATCAGGGCGGCGGACAGGACAGGACAGATCGCACGCGGCAATGGATGGATGGATGGATGCTACTCGCCTCTCTCTCTCTGTGTGTGTGTGTGTGTGTGTGTGAGGGAGGGAGGAAGATTCGTGTATCGCTGCGATGGTCGATGTGCCTCGCCACTGTAGGGCGGGGCACTAACACACATTGGTTGGGAGGGAAGGGGGGGGGGAG